GCCCCTGTTTTGCCCCCCGTTCGAGTCCTCGCGTCTCACCAGGTTGCTCCGTCCCCCCAGGTAGCTGTGTCTTGTCAGGTTCCTCCGTCTAGTCCGGTCGCTGCGTCGTGCTCCTGTCGGTCGCTTGCCCACCCCACCGTTTTGTGGCACCACCGGCTGGGGCACCCTTCTCCTCCTCGTCTTCGCGCTATGTCTCGTCAGCGTCTTGTCTTAGGTCTCCCGCGTGTCTTGCCGTCGCTGCCGCCGTCCCTTGCACCACCGTGCGGTCCTTGCGTCGAGGGTAGGCTGCGCGCCACCCCTCACTCCTCCTCCCTTCGTCCGGCCACCGAGCCTTTTGAGACACTGCACTTGGACGTCTGGGGCCCCTCTCCTCGCCCTGGCCCTGAGCGTGAGCGTTTCTTTTTGGTGGTCGTTGACGACTACTCCCGCTACACCACAGTGTTCCCCCTGGCGAGGAAGTCTGAGGTGACTTCTACGCTGATCAGGTGGTTGCTTACCACCCAGGACACTCGTGGTCGTCGTGTCAGCTGTCTCCACTCCGACCGCGGGGGCGAGTTTCGCTCCGGCATTCTCGCTGGATTCTGTCGCGAACAGGGCATTCGTCAGTCCTGGACGCTTCCGGAGTCCCCACAGCAGAATGGGGTTGCTGAGCGTCGCATAGGCCTGGTCATGGAGATTGCCCGCACCTCCTTGACTCACGCCCGTGCCCCCCATTTCCTGTGGCCATACGCGGTCAGGTACGCCGCGCACCAGCTGAACCTCTGGCCACGCGTCTCTCGGCCGGAGGCTTCACCGACCAGTCTTTGGACAGGGTCCCCTGGTGTCGCGTCGAGGTTTCGTGTCTGGGGGTGCTTGGCTCTTGTCCGCGACACCTCCGCGGACAAGCTCTCGCCTCGCGCCGTTCCTTGTGTCTTCCTTGGTTTCCCTGAGGACTCCTCTGACTTCACCTTTTACCACCCTCCCTCTCACCGGTTCTTTGACTCCCGTGACGTCCGTTTCGAGGAGTCCACCCCCTACTACGTCAGGTACCCCAGTCGAGGTCTCCCGGTCCCTCGCCTGCTCCCCCGGTACAGCCTCCCCCCCCTGGTCCAGCCCCGTCTGGTGTGTCTCAGGCTAGCCCTCCCCCTTCGGTAGCCCCCCCTGTACAGCCTCCCTCCCCACAGTCTTCCTCGCCGCCTCCTGCAGGTGCTCCCTCTCGAGAGGTTGGTCCTGCGACTGTCCCTGTACAGGTCTCTGGTTCTGGGGGTGCTGGAGTTGGAGCTGAGCCGCGGGTTGCAGAGGACTCTTGTCTTCCGGGGGCTGGTACTGGTCGTGCGGAGTCTGGGGGTGCTGGTGCGGAGTCTGGGGGTGCTGCGTCTGGGGGTGAGGGTGTCCCTTCGGTTTCTGGAGAGCCTGGGTCTGGAGCTGGTGTTGGTGCTGCCTCTGGGGGTGGTGTGCTTGGTGCTTCGGAGGTCGACTCTGGGGCTGCCGCTGCCCCGGACACTACTCCTTCCCCCCACCCCTACCCGACCAGGTTCCAGGCTCGTGTTCGTCGTGCTCGTGAGGAGCAGCTGGAGTTGGAGAGAGAGGAGAGAGAGTTGCAGCGGCTCGAGGAGCAGGAGCGACAGCAGCAGGAGCAGCAGCAGGAGCAGCAGCAGAGGCAGCAGCCGCTGGAGCAGCAGCAGCCGCAGCAGCAGCAGCAGCAGCTGCTGCCGTCTCCTCCTCCTGTCTCGGGCCTTCGGACCCTTGGTCTCCCGTCTCCCTCTCCTTCCTCCTCCCCCTCTCCTCCCGTCTCTGGTCCTCCGCTTCCTCCTCCTGACCCCTCTCCCGCTGTTTTCCCTCGTTCTCAGTCTTCGTTGTCTCCTCCTCCTTCTCAGACTTGGGCCTCTCGTCGCTCCCCTCGTGCTCGTCCCTCGTCTCCTGTTCCCTTCACTGACCTTCGTACAGCCTTCCTTTGTTCTCGTCCACCTCGTCCGTCTCCGTCTGTGCTTCCGTCTCCTCCTGAGTCGGCCCTCACTGTGTCGCTTCCTTCTCCTGTCACTGACTACTACCGCACGTACCGTCCTGTTCTCTCTCGTGTTCTCGCCTCTCTTGTTACCCACCCTCGTGCCTCTGTGTCCTCTGTGTCCGCTCTTACTGCCGCAGTCACTGAGTTTGCCTCTACCCGCCGCCTTGACTTCGCCACCGCTCTTGTGGCTGCTCCTCCTTCCAGTCCTCTGGCCGTTGGGGGTGTGTCTGCCCTTGGCTGTGACGCCCTAGAGGACAGGCAGTTTGAGCTAGAGTTCCTGGCGGCCGCTTCCCCTCATCTCTGTGCCATGCTCCTCGCCCCTGAGGGTGACCCCGACGCCCTTGACATTCCGACTCCTCGCACTTACGCTGAGGCAGTGTCAGGGCCTTGGGCCTCTCAGTGGAGAGCTGCCATGGACGCAGAGATGGCCTCCTACAGATCCACAGGCACCTACGTCGATGAGGTTCCCCCTCCGGGGGCGAACGTAGTCGACGGCATGTGGATCTACAGGGTGAAGCGGCCACCGGGATCTCCTCCGGTCTTCAAGGCGCGCTACGTGGCTAGAGGTTTCAGTCAGCGCGAGGGAGTTGACTTCTTTCAGACCTTCGCGCCCACCCCGAAGATGACCACTCTTCGGGTGTTACTACACGTAGCAGCACAGAGAGACTACGAGTTACACTCTCTCGACTTCTCTACTGCTTTCCTTCAGGGCAGTCTTCACGAGGAGGTCTGGTTGCGTCGTCCCTCTGCCTTCACTGGCTCTTTCCCTCCTGGGACCCAGTGGAGGCTGAGGCGACCGGTTTACGGTCTTCGTCAGGCTCCTCGTGAGTGGCACGACACCCTGCGTTCTACCCTGTCTGACCTTGGGTTCCAGCCGTCTTCTGCTGACCCGTCGCTGTTCGTTCGTCGTGGCCCCACACCTTTCTTTGTTCTGGTCTACGTTGACGACCTTGTTTTCGCCACCCCTGACAGGGTTGCTTTGGCACACGTGAAGTCCGAACTGCAGAAGAGACACACCTGCACTGATCTTGGTGAGCTGCGCCACTACCTTGGCCTGCAGATCACCAGGGACAGAGCTGCTCGCACCATTACACTTTCACAGTCGCACATGGTGCAGCAGGTCCTTCAGCGGTTCGGGCTTCAGCACTCCACAGTACAGCGCACACCTCTTGCTGTTGACCACAGACTCACTGGACCCTTTCCTGACGAGCCGTTCGAGCCTAGTGGTCCCTACGCAGAGCTTGTGGGTTGCCTCATGTACCTGATGACTTGTACTCGCCCGGACCTCGCCTTCCCTCTCAGCGTTCTTGCGCGCTTTGTTGCGCCAGGGAGACACCGTCCTGTTCACTGGACAGCAGCTGTGAGGGTGGCGAAGTACCTAGCGACGACATCAGGCGTGGGGCTAGTTCTTGGAGGGCAGCAGTCTGTCGTACTTACTGGTCACTGTGACTCCTCTTACGCTGACGACGCTGAGACTCACAGGTCTACTCAGGGGTACTGTTTCAGCCTGGGTTCTGGAGCTGTTTCCTGGCGGTCCACGCGCTCCTCTTCGGTCTCGACCTCTACAGCTGAGGCTGAGATCTACGCTGGTGCCATGGCGGCACAGGAGCTGCGTTGGTTGACCTTCTTGCTCACCGACCTTGGTGAGCGGCCGAGCTCTGCACCGACCTTGTTCACTGACAACAAGGCGTCTATTCTCCTTTGTCGAGAGCCACGACTGGAGAGCAGAGTGAAGCACATTCACGTCAGGTACTTTCTTCTGCGAGAGTTGCAGAGGCGTGGACAGGCTCGCTTTGAGTTTGTGGAGTCCGAGGCCAACACTGCAGACATCTTCACCAAGGCGCTTCCGCCTTGTGACCACCAGAGGTGCTGTGTGCAGTTAGGCCTTGTTGACACTGGTTCTCGTGTTGCTTAGACTTGAGTGTACTGTTTACTTTGCTTTCTATATATCTCTGTTACTTCTTGGACTGGCCTTGTGGCCACTGTTGTTTGTGCTCAGACTGTGTGGTGACGTTGTGATCCACCCTGAGCTTCGTTTCTTGGACTGGTCTTGTGACCGTACTCGTTTGGTTCTGCTAGACACCCCTCACTTAGGCTATGGGGGTGTGTCAAATGTTGTAGCCTATAGTGAGGTTTGTCTTAGGGGGTACAAAACTTAGGGTTAGCTATATGTACCCCAACCAACATCAATGCATCATCCATTCTTCATTTTGACACTTCTTATCACATAAGCCCCCTTCTCGCCGTCATCCCTCTTCTCTATCACATACCTCCTCTCACATAACCTCTTTCACTCTTATCAAGGTAACCCTACTTCTCTCACAAAGCATGTTCTCTCCTCTTAAATCACCTCCCCCTTCCCTCTTCTCGCATGATCCCCATCCCTCCCTTCCCTCCTCTAACATGACCTCCTTCCCTCCCTTCCCTCCTCTAACATGACCTCCATCCCTCCCTTCCCTCCTCTGGCATGACCCCCTTCCCTCCTCTCGCATGACCCCCATCCCTCCCTTCCCTCCTCTCGCATGACCCCCTTCCCCCTTCTCGCATAAATCAAAAGCGGACACTCCTCTCGCATGACCCCCTTTCCTCACAAATGACTCCCTTCCTCCCACCACATCGTTTCCTTACTCTCGTCTAGCATGACAACCCGTTTCACTCCTTACATAATCCCTTGATCCTTTAGCTTGGTCTCCCTAATATCCTCTCACATAAGCGTCCTCACTTCTCACATAACCCACTTTCACTCTGCTCACTCACATAACCCTTCAAAAAACGGTTTTTAACGCCAAACTAATGAGGGAAATACGCTGTACATGTGGATGTTTGACCCTGGACTAATCAGTATGTATCAGCGCCCGAGTTTGTCTGCCCACCTTTCCCCCTCATGTACGGATTCACCTTTTCTATATATGCAACAAGCCGTGTGTCTGAGTCAAGCAAGAAAACATTCTGAGGTTCCTTAAAAGGCAAACTGTATGCCTGTTTCATGCCTGAAAACAGCTCGAAAGCAGACCTACGTGAAGGGATAGAAATTGATGAAAAGCAAGGAGCCAATGACTGCATACCCCACTGATGCACCAATCCATGCCCTTACCATAAACAACTCCCACCTTTGATCCGCATACTCGGAAGATGGGCGGGCAGATTTAGAGTACTTGGTATTCGCTGATGTGAGGAGATGGGCTAGGAACCAGTAGAGGGGAGGTGAGGAGGAGAGAAAACGAGTCGCCACCTGTAGCTCATAAATGAGGGAGACACGAGATGGGGGGAGGGGAGAAAGGGAGGGAGGAGAGAGAGGGAGGGAGGGGAATCAATACAACGGACCGTTTGAGGGAGGGGAGGACCAGACTGAGGCTGCATGGTATTCGCTGATGTGAGGAGATTGGCCAGGAACCAGTAGAGAGGAGGTGAGGAGGAGAGGAAACGAGTGGCCACCTGAAATCCACAGGGGAGAGGGTTGCAAGGGTGTGGGGAGGAGGGGGGAGCGAGGGAGGAGGAGGGGGGAGGGGAGGGGGGGGGGGGGGAGGAGAGGGGGGGAGGGGTGTTGGGGGGGGGGGGGGAGGGAAGTATGGGAAGGGAAGGGGGAGAGAAGGGGAAGGAGCACTGATGAGGAACAAATAACTGCATCTTGAGCCCAGATTCAACAGCCTTCAATATACAAAGAGGAAGTTGTACACGAGCTAGAAATCCAGGATGCACGAAAACCGAGATAAGATTGGGAGATCTAGAAGTGAAGCGAGTATATGGGGGCGAAAAGATGCTGCCATCTCTATGAGCGGACGCAAGTGGCTGCCAGAAATTCTAATAGACCCACCTGAACGTGCATCACCACAGTAGTAGTTGCCACTGCTTTCATAAACGAGAGCTGCAGTATATACTCTACTAGTAGTTGTCTTGAACGAATCAACAGATTTGTCACTGTTGTAATGAACAGAAGATTTCTGCAGTGATCCATTACTGAAGCGTTCAAGACAACATACACTCTCACTCACTGAAACGTGCATCAACAGGAGCTGCACTGATATATTCTTAAGGCGCAGCAACAACAACCAAAAAAAAAAAAAAAAAAAAAAAAAAAAAAAAAAAAAAAAAAACGTTCCGCGCACTTTGTACGTTGCCACTGCTGCCATGAACAGCAGCTGCAATTCTTTTCTTTCTTTCCTGTAAGCATCTACAACAACTACACTCTCTCTCACCTGTACGTGCATCACCAACGTTGCCACTGCTGTCATAAACAGCAGCTGCAGCAGGAACGGAAGAGCAGCAGCAGAAAAGAACCCCTTGTTACCACTCAAACGGTCATATCTTCGCCATTCCACCTCCCCTTCGTCCCCCCCTTCCTCCACCTTCTCCTCCTCCACTTCTTCCACCTTCTCCTCCTCCCCTTCCTCCACCTTCTCCTCCTCCACTTCCTCCTCCCTCTCTCGTTCTTTTGGGTGGTTGGGAGGTGGAAGGAAGAGGAGGCGGTGCTGGTCAGAGGGAGCGGAGAGGAGGCCGAGAGAGAGGAAGAGGAGAAGGCGAGAGAGTGCGAAAGATAGGACGGCTGAGAGGGAGAGGAGGAGGGTGGGTGATGCCAGGAGGAAGTTGGGGAGTTGCTTCAGCTGAAAGTATCGGAGAAATCCCACATCCCTGCATTGTGTATGGGAGAAAAGGTGGAAGTATGGTGGTGGTTGGTTGGGAGGGAACTAAGGGAAGGTGGATGTGGTCAGAGAGGGCGAGAAGGGGGGTGGGTGCTGGTAGGAGGAAGTTGGGGAGCTGCTTTAACTGAAAGTAACGAACAAATCCCACGTCCCTGTAGGGAGGTGGACAGGGGAGGAAGGCACGGAATGAGGGGAAGGAGAAGCAGGATTCAGGAGGTCGCTGCTATGAGGAAGATAAGGAAGGGGGGGTTAACTGTGTAGTGTTGGGGACAGCAGAGTTGAGAACATAAAGAGCACAAAGTGTGCGGTTGGGTAGAGTAGCTTCGTGCTCCTTGCTGCTTGCATCACTCACCACTACTTGCACATAGTCGTAGATATAACGGACCGAGTCCAAGCACCATAGGGGACGACCTGAAGCTGTGGCGACTGCTTTCCTCTCACCAGTACTTGCGTTGCACATAGCCGTAGATGTAGGGAATGGAGTCCATGCACCAGGAGGGAACATCCCGAGGCGTAGTGCTAGCAGCAGGGCGGCAGAACTGGGTGAAGGCAAAGAACTGGAAGGAGAGGAGGAGAGAGAAGGAGAGGAGGCAGCAGAGGGCGGTGGAGAGGAGGATGGGGAGGAGTCTGGGAGGGGGGAATGGGGGGAACAAGGGAGAAAATGGGCAGGGGAGAGTAGGCTTGGGCATTTGACCCGAACGGGTCGGGTAACCCGACCCGACAAGACCTTTTTGGCGGGTCGGGTATTTATTTCTGATTGGACTACCCAGTCGGGTCGGGTAGTGAATACTCGGCTCGGGTATCCAATACCCGCTACCCGACCCGTGTATTTAGGTTCGGGTTTTTGATACCCGTCGGGTCGGGTACCCGACCCGATTTCAGGCCACTTACTCGTATTCGGCTCGGGTTTACAAAAACCCGACGCGCTGTGCACAGGTTTAGTTTACACTAACCTGACGAGCAAAACCCTGCTTAGTTTACAAATGTAATGCCAAAAACAGCTTAGGAATAACCCATAATGCATTACAGATTATATTTTTTAACGGGTATACCCGACCCGACCTCGGGTATACCCGACCCGGCCACGGGTTTTAAATACCCTAGGGTTAGAAGGCGGGTCGGGTACACAATCTGACCCTGAATACCCGAGGTTGGGTATACCCGACCCGACCTGACTACACCCTTGGGTAGCCCCCAACGGGTCGGGTCGGGCCAATGCCCAAGCCTAGGGGAGAGGGAGGGGGAGGGGGGAGGGATGGGTGCAGCAAGAAAGGGAGAAAACGATAATGATTTGGAGGGAGAGGGGAAGGGAGAAAGAGAGGAGACAGCAGAGGGCGGTGGAGAGGAGGATGGGGAGGAGCCTGGGAGGGGATAGGGAAGGGAAGAAGGAGAGAGTGGGAAGGATATGATAGGGAAAGGGAGCGGGAGGGAGGGGTGGAGGGTTAGGGGGAGGGAGAGGGGGAGAGGAGCAGAGGTGAACAGAGGTGAGCAGGAACAACGAAGGAGAAAAAGGAGTGCAGGACAAGAGGCAGCAAAAGAGTGTGCTGAGGAGAATCGGGAAGGTTCTCTTTGGGAGACGAGGGGGAGAGGGAGGAGAGGGAGGTGAAAGGATGGAAAGGGAGGTGAAAGGATGGAAAGGGAGGTGAGACGTCTCAAAAACACCCTCACTACACGAGGGAGGTGAAAAGGGGGTAAGTGGAGGGACAGAGGGAGCGGGGTCCAGCAGAACCGAAATGGGACGAACAAATCAAGACTAAAAGAATGGAAGTGTAAGATCCGAGAGTACCCTCACCTTGTGCGGCACATTTTGAGGCGCCTCAAAAACCCTCACCTTGTGCGGCACAGCTGCCACTTCCTCTCCAAAAACGACCCAATCTCGTCCGCCCCTCCCGCCGCTGACACTCTTCTGCCTGTCCGTTTCTTGGTTGTCTTGAGCGATGTATGCCAGCCTTCATTCCCTTGCTGCCGTCCTTGATGCCGTCCCTCCCGGCCTTCATTCCCCTGTGGGCTGAGTGCATGGATCAGCCACTGCAGCAGCTGCCATGGCAGCAGACGGAGGATGAGGGGCCCTGCGGCCTGATGGAGGGGTGAAGGCAGGGAGGAGGCAGGGAGGGGGCAGGGAGGAGGCAGGGAGGAGGCAGGGAGGAGGCAGGGAGGAGGCAGGGAGGAGGCAGGGAGGAGGCAGGGAGGAGGCAGGGAGGAGGCAGGGAGGAGGCAGGATGAGACCTAAAACGGATGGCATTGAACAGCCAGTGAGGCAGCTGCTGTGGCAGCAGACGGAGGACGAGGGGCCCTGCTGCCTTATGGAGGGGCGGAAGGGTTGAAGGGAAGGGAATGGAAGAGCAGAGCAACACTTGGGTTGGGGGAGGTGTGCCTGCGTGCAGGACGCCGTTGGAGCGAGCTGCTGCTGAGAGGGTGACCACGGGGGAGTCACATGAGAGGGTGACCACGGGGGAGTCACATGAGAGGGTGGTCACGGGGGAGTCACATGAGAGGGTGCTCACGGGGGAGTCACATGAGAGGGTGCTCACGGGGGAGTCACATGAGAGGGTGACCACGGGGGAGTCACATGAGAGGGTGACCACGGGGGAGTCACATGAGAGGGTGGCCACGGGGGAGTCACATGAGAGGGTGACCACGGGGGAGTCACATGAGAGGGTGACCACGGGGGAGTCACATGAGAGGGTGACCACGGGGGAGTCACATGAGAGGGTGACCACGGGGGAGTCACATGAGAGGGTGACCACGGGGGAGTCACATCACACACATACCATGGGTGTCACTGGCCATGAGACCCATGTGCTGTGGTTACCACAACCAGCATGTGCGTAAGTAGACCCACCCCATCACATCACACCAGACGATATACCTGCAGGGAGGCAAAGTGGAAGAAGTCAGAGAGCGGGACGCCGTTGAAACGAGCTGCTGCTGAGAGGACGACTAATCAGACCCCAGGACATCAGATGTGCGCATGTGGTGGTTACCAATGTGTAACACCACCACCTGCAGGTGACATGCGATGTGCCCATGTGGCAAAGAGGAAGAAGCCTGCGCGCAGCACGATGTTGGAAAGAGCTGCTGCTGAAAGCGCGATGAGGAGTGAGTAACATACCATGTCATGCGGTTACCAATGTGTAACACCACGTCACGATATACCTGCAGTGAGGAGAAGAGGAAGAAGCCTGCGTGAAGGACACCATTAGGGCGAGCGGCTGCTGAGAGGGCGATCAAGAGGGACGCAGAGATCCATCGGCCACTCACAACGCGCCACATGGCGGCAAAGGCGAGCAGTGCGAATATGCTCTCGGAATAGCTGTTGGGGACAGAGGGGAGAGGGGTGGGGTGGGTTGGGGTGAGGTAGGCAGGGGTGGGGTGAGGTGAGGTGGGTTGAGGTGGTGGGGCTGGGAAAAAGGGGGACGGGTTGGGTATGTGGGCGCAGACATACCTCTCCCTCGCACACGCATTCTCTTTCCTCTCTCTCTCTCTCTGCCCTTCCCGTTATCTCTCTCACCCACCCTCCCTTACATGCCCACTCCCTCTCTCTCACACAAACACACACTCCTCCGCACACCCTCCCACACTCATTGCTCCACGCTCACTCACACACTCACTCACTCACTCACTCACTCACATCGCAGAGTAGAAAGCAGAGGCGGGGGTGAGGCAGAAGAAGAGGGAGGAGAGGAAGGCCAGACGCGTATCAGAAAGAACACAGTCGGTGAGCCTGCAGAGAGCAAAACAAACAGCAACTTCAAGAGGAACACACTTGAAACACGTTTGAGGATTGATTCACATTCGAAGAAGACTAGGACGTCCAAGAATAGCACATTTGAAAGGGAGAGGAGGGCGGAGGGGAAGACTAAGCGCGTGTCGGAGAGAACACAGTCGGTCAGCCTGCACTGCAGAGAGCAAACGTAACATGGGACGTTCAAGAGTAGTTCACTCGAAGGGCGATCCACGGGTCGTTCCTTGTAAAAAGCACATTCAAAACAACATATAGGCGCATGTTCAGCTAATTTCTCCTTTCCTGGTGACTTTGCTTGTTCTGCTAATTCTACTCATTCTGCTGATTTTGCTCGTATTGCAAATCTAGTTCACATGATAGTCTGTTGAGGGAGTTCCCTGAAGAAGCAGCAAGCTTTGAGACGTCATACTACTCAATAATACTCACTCACTATCGGCTGCCACCTGCATATCACTCAACCACTTAGTCCGCATATATTTTTGTTTTGGCTCAAAACTATAATCACTCGTCTACTCGTTACGCTCATGTCTGTCAGGGGAATTACCTGAAGAGGCAGTAAGCTGCTGCAACGAAGGCAGTATTCGAGACGACCAGTCCCACCAAGGCAAATGTGGCTGGAGCTCCGAGAATGGGGAGAAGCAGACGGACTAGAGAGGAAGGAGGGGTAGGAGGAAAGAAAAGGAGGAAAGAAGTGGAAAGGAGAGGCGGTAAGCTGCTGCAAGAAAAGCTGCATTTGATAGGATTTTTTTTTTTTTTTCCTCCAAAAATCCGAGCAGCCCCACGAAGGCGAAAGTGAGTGAGTGGCAGTGGCAGTGACAGTGGCCCTAAAGAGTAATGGCATATGAGCAAGGGAACGAGAGGGAAGAACGGGTGGTGGCGACTTTTGAGGCGCCTCAGGAGGCACTGACAGTGACAGTGGCCCTGAAAGAAGAGTACTGGCATATGAGCAAGGGAACAAGAGGGAAGAACGGGTGGTGGCGACTTTTGAGGCGCCTCAGGAGGCAGTCACAGTGACAGTGGCCCAGAAAGAAGAGTAATGGCATATGAGCAAGGGAACAAGAGGGAAGAACGGGTGGTGGCGGCGAGAGGAGTGGCCTCATTAGCACAGCAGTAGACTTTTGAGTCGACTCAAAAGTCAACTCGGCGAGAGGAGTAGCCTCATTAGCACAGCAATAGGGGGAGGGGAGGGAAAGGGAGGCCATACAGGGAGTGGCAGTAGCGAGGAGCCGCGTGAGCAAGGGAAGGAGCGGGAAGAGAAGAGAGCATGGTGCAGGGAGCAAGGTAACCTTGAAGCGGATTGCTGAGGAAGCATTGAGACGGCTTACAGGGAGTGGCAGTGGCGAGGAGGCGCATGAGCAAGGGCAGGAGCGGAAAGAAGGCATAGGCCTGCTCAAACTCATAACCGCAGAGTGCAATGCGGTGGAAGAACACCGAATCCCACACCACCAGGCTCTCTAGTGCTTGCTGTACGGTGTTGTTGTGGCCTGCACCGGGTGTGTGGGGTGGGATGTGGGGGTTGGTTGGAAAGATGGGGGAGGGAGGGGGTATCATAAGACCACAGAGGGCAGTGCGGTGGAAAAACACCGAATCCCGCACCACCACGCCCTCCGACGATGTTGTACCGTGCTGTTGTGATCTGATAAGGGGGCAGAGGTGCAAGGGGTCAAGGGGTTGTCATGGGGAAGGGCAGGAAAGGGGGGAAAATGCGTAGGGTTGTTTTAACTTATAGTAACAGAGGGGAATAAGGTGGAAAAATACCGAATTCCACGCCACAAGGCTCTCTACTGCTCGCTGTGCCGTGCTGTTGCGGCCTGAACCAGGTGAGGGGTCGGGGGTGGGGCTTGGTTGAGGAGTGGGGAGGGAGGGGGTGCAGCCACAGTGGGCAATGCAGCAGAAGAGCACCGAATCTCACACCACCACGCCTTCTATCGTCTCTTGTACGGTGCTCCTGTGCCCTGATAGTAACGGGTTGAGAGGACAAAAGGCGTGAGCCTGTTCGAACTCATAGACACAGAGGGGTAGAAAAAACAACGAATCCCACACCACAAGGCCTTATAATGCGTGTTTGACTATGCTCCTGTGCCCTGATAAGAGGGGGCACGTGGGGACAGAAGGCGTAGGCTTGCTCAAGCTAGGGGCCACAGAGGGCAGCGTGGTAAAAGAAGACCGAATCTTCTTTCCTGTATATTCGAACCTGTTGATTCGGTTCGGCCTGAGCACACCACCAGGCTTGCCAGTATCTGCTGTGCTGTGCTGTGAAGGCCTGAATTGGGTGTGTGGGTTGGGCAGTGGGTGGTGGGGGTTGGTTGGGGGTTGGGGTTCGGTTGAGGAGTGGGAGAAAGGAGGGGCCATCACAAGGCTACAGAGGGCAATGGGGTAAAAGAGGATTAAAATCAACTCTGAGAACTCAAAAGTGGTTTCAACAGAGGGCAATGGAGTAAAAGAGGCCTGAATCCCACACCACCAGGCTGTTCCTCCGCTGTACGATGCTTTTGTGGGCTGCCAGGGGAAAATAGGGTTCAAGGTTTCGGGTTTACGAGGCAAGTAAAGCAGAAATGGGAGGGAGTCAGATAATGTGCGAAAGACAGCAGGGGGGAACGGCGTGCGAGATTGTTATTTACCTGGGTAGTCTTCAATTAACGATGTGGAAATCAAATCAGGGGGCAGACGGCGGACAACCGATTCTGCTGCAGAAGCCGCGACAGTGCGAACTAAACCTAGGTGAACCTTATCGACATTCGCGAGACGTGATTCGTCAGAAATCTCTGTACTGGTGTGGGGGATCCCGAGAAGTGTCAGCGTGCGGTCTACTGCAGACGAATTTCCGGGTGACACGTGGTGTGGATGACACGGGGAATAGATGCGTGCTGACGTGTCGTAATCTTCTAGAATCGCGTCAAAGGCGAAGAAGAGTATCAGCATGGCTACGCGCGACACCGCCGCTGTCGCGAGCACAATGCGACCGGCTCGGCGACGATCTGCGACGCTACTGGGCTCGCCTCGACCGTCGATCAATCTGGACTTGGGATTATTCACGTTCGAACTCGAATCTCCTTTACCTGCATCCGGCATCAATTTAACGCCACGTGGCGAATCCACATCCGCCGCAGCGCTAACCCTACGACGAGGCCCCATCATCTCGCCGTAGGCGTATTTAGTAGTACCTACTAAATCAAACGCCGAGGCGACATCTTCCTCTAATAGGAGTAACCACAACAACCTCGTCCAATCGCTTTATTACATTAGTATAAACGCTCGTGCCGTGCACACAGGCTAAGTCGCGATGCGGCAGGCCACTGAACGTGCAAGCAGCAGTAGGGCAGAGTGCTTTGGTTTGGGGCATGATCAAATTGGTGACTGAGAAAATTTCAGCCCGGTGCTTTGAGTTGCAGCGAGATTCAGTACGGTGCATCGTGGTACTTGCCGAACTTACACACTGCGACCATGGCTTGGAGCTGGTCATTTATTCGACTACCAACGTTGCAAGGTTCAATCGGGTGCAAAGAAGAAAGCATTTTGCCCTTCTAATGGTACTACTGAAGGGTCAAAGCCTCTCTCAGCTGGTGTCCTGTTGTATAAAACTAGAAATCCAGCAGCAAGTACTCAGCAGCAAGCACTAATCCAAGAGTCCCGTTTTATAACTCCAGCAGCGGCACTCACGCTTCCCCAAAAAGGTAAACGCAAGCTGCCCTGGTGACACGTGGTGTGGATGACACGGGGAATAGATGCGTGCTGACGTGTCGTAATCTTCTAGAATCGCGTCAAAGGCGAAGAAGAGTATCAGCATGGCTACGCGCGACACCGCCGCTGTCGCGAGCACAATGCGACCGGCTCGGCGACGATCTGCGACGCTACTGGGCTCGCCTCGACCGTCGATCAATCTGGACTTGGGATTATTCACGTTCGAACTCGAATCTCCTTTACCTGCATCCGGCATCAATTTAACGCCACGTGGCGAATCCACATCCGCCGCAGCGCTAACCCTACGACGAGGCCCCATCATCTCGCCGTAGGCGTATTTAGTAGTACCTACTATGGTGAAAGAAGAAAGCATTTTGCCCTTCTAATGGTACTACTGAAGGGTCAAAGCCTCTCTCAGCTGGTGTCCTGTTGTATAAAACTAGAAATCCAGCAGCAAGTACTCAGCAGCAAGCACTAATCCAAGAGTCCCGTTTTATAACTCCAGCAGCGGCACTCACGCTTCCCCAAAAAGGTAAACGCAAGCTCACAAATCTTCTACGTGAATGCAGCTGCATCAGCTTCAGCATGCCTCCTATCACACTGCTCTGAGGAGTGACACCTCTGCTCCAGCTCCAGTCAACCGTGCAGCGCTGGCTTCCCTACCGCAATTCGTATCAGCCTGTATGCACCTTGATCCCACATTATTGTACCGTACTCCACCGCCTTCCCCAGTGCCTCCGGCTCCACTTCCTCGCACTCTCGTCAAGCTGAAGTCTCGCTCAATCAATCTGTACAGATTCGAAAGATGATGAAATATTGTAGTTCGTAAGAAATTTCGAAGCTCGTTCAGCATCACACTCCAGTCTCCCTGATAGCCCTCCGCATGGACTGCCTCAGCCGCTCGTTCTCAGCCATCAGTGCGGCAATCTCCCCTTCAATCTCCGCGTTACTCCTCTCAACCATCTCGCACCGCTGCTCCAGCTCCGCGACATAATTCTTCTTCCGCTCCCGCGCCTGCTGCGCGCTCACGCGGTTCCGCAGCAGCCGCTTCACTCGCCGCTCATCCCGCTGCTGCTTCGCCGAGGCCTTCCCTCCCTTGACTTGCTGCCCAGTCACAGGACCGGAGACTGTAGCGGGGATAGCGGGAGCGGTAGCGGTAGGAACAAACACGTCCTCTTCAATCTTAAGAACAGGCGAAACCGGCAGAGCAGCGGCTGGAGCAGCGGCGACCTCTACCTCTGCTGAAAATTTCACGGCAGGAGATTTGCCAGCAGCAGCAGCAGCAGGGAGAGGAGCAACTCTGCCCAGCGGACTCTTCGCCGCAGCCTTCCCCGCGCCAGTTTTCCCGACCGCAGCGGGGGACGATGTGGGAACAGGCGAGGCGCACCGTGCGGGGGACGCGATGGCTTTGGGGGACGACGGGACGACGGCGGGGGAGAGCGGCGGGAGGGGAGCAGCGGGAACGAACGGCGAAGAGGAAGCGGCGTTCGCCGAATCGGCAGCGTCGGGATTGACGTTAGTCCAAGGGAGGATTGAGGGAGAGGATGGGATAGGATGGCCGTAGAGGGACGCGGAAGGCATCGCGGAAGGTGCGACGGAAGATACGGCGGAAGGGAACTGCGAGGACGCGTTGAGCGCGTGTCGTCGTCGCTTACCGCGCACGGAATCCGCGACCAGGCGACGCTGACGCGCGATGGCGGCAGGGTCGGCGGCTATTGCGTTGGTTCCAGGCATCGCACTGCACAGAGTAAAAAAAACAAGGTGATGATTAGTTTTCATTACGACTTACGCGTTCGTTTCGCGAAGTATAGCTGCTCGTGACTCGTAAATTCCCGTCCCACACATCGTTAGAGAAAAAAACGTAGGTGACAGGTTACGTGACGCGGACTTACTGTGGGGGGGAAAGGAAGGGCGAGGAGTAAGGAGCCATCCACGGGTTGTACGGAAAGGGAGGGTACGGCATGCCGTAGTAGGGAACCGGCATGGTGGGCATTCCAGGGTAGTAGAGCGGCATATGCGGCGGATACATTGGGTGGTTCATCGGATGATGCGCTGGGTACTCCGGGAACTCCATTTTGGGATGCGACGGAGCATCCGCGGTAGAATGCTCTGTGTTACAAAAAGAACAGAATTGAAAGGGAAAATAACGAGTTAGCCACAATTCATCGTGGTTACAAAAGCGGAAGCAGGAGCAAGAACGCAAGGAAAACGCGAAAGTGAAAACGAGAATGAGTCGAATCGATATGCTTTCGCTGTGTACCTGCAAGGCCCGCTCCTCTGAGCATGAGATTATAACGAAGGTCCTGTTGATTCAGCGCATCCACGTCATCCATCCCTCCGAACGACAGATTGAAATCCTCCGACGCGAAACCGTCCGGCGAGCTGAACACGTCAGGCGACCCGAACGCTCCTCCGTCTGCGACAGAGTCTGCGACGTCGTTTGTCGTCGTCGTCGTCGCAGCGGGCTTCGGAGCGCACGGGACCAGCTGCGGCTCGCACGAGCCTTCCGGAAAGGACGCGGCGAGATTCACGGTACCGAACGGGTTCGAGTCAAACATGCCGAAATTGTCATGGCTGCCTCCCTCCCCGACTGACTCTTCAGGAACATCATCTGGCAGAAGCCTGTCCGCGTTAGGGAGCGATTTGTTATCCTTCTCAGCAATCCCCCCCATTTCGCCCATGTACGTCATTAGTTGGTCGAGCCCTCGGTCGAAGAGGTCTCCGGTTTGGCCGAAGGAGAACATGGTGTCGTCTGCTGCGTCGAAAGCGTCGGCGTAGGGCCTCTTGGAACTGAGCTTCTGATTCGACTCCATGGGAACGCCAGAGCTCGGACAGAGAGAAATCTCTCCGGGAATCATCTTGCACAACTTCTAGGGAGCGAAGAGTGCAAGTAAGTAGTACTTCAAAGTTCCAGTCAGGACTCTGGTAGACAGCAGGAGTGGGGAATGAGCTAGCTTCGGTAGCTAGCAGTTTCTGACGCAACCTGAAGTCATGAGTTGGAAGTCACGAAACGATACTTGAATCTTCTTCTGAATTGAAGCTAAGAAAATGCTCGCGAAAATACTCGCTGGGACGGAACGGGGAGACGGACTTTCTGCAGAAACGGCCGCGGTTTCCTCCCGTCCTGTCCCGTTTCGCTGGGAACGGCGGAAATTGCAATGGCAGGGGGGGAGAGGGAAGAAAAATGGCTGCTGAATTTGCGGCCAAATGCAGGTCTGCGGTGACAAGGACGACGCAGTTCCGCCACCTCAGCCGCACTCAGTTCACCTCACTGCGCGGATACACGAGTGCCTACCAATCAAGGCACACCTGGGGCTTGTGATAATTTCCAGTTTGGGTGAGTGCCACAAAAACAGAACGGTTGGGACGGATTCCAAATGCTGCAGAGTGGTATGCAGGATTTGTCTGTAGTGGCTGGTTGATTTTTTTTGGGTGAGGGGAGATCGTTGGGTGCGGATGTTTGCGGGGATTGAGGGGAGAGCAGCGTGCGGCGTCAAAGCTCGAGGTCTCTGGTAACTTCGTTTCGGCGCTGAGCGCGCCAGCCTCGGGTGTAGGTTTGGGGGAAACGCACGTGGTTGAGGGGTGGGTTCGTTGATTGGAATGGGGGGACTGAGGGGAGAGGGGGCGGGCGTGAGGTAGGGAAGGTGGGTGGAGCAGAACAGAATTCGTTCCTCTATCGAAAAGGAGGGCGAATTTGATGCCTTGATGAGCGTGTGACAGGCTGGCCATAGGTCACCACCTGTCAGAATTCATTCGGCCTGTCTGCGGAAGCAGGCTGGCGTCGGAGTTCGCGAACACGAAAATGTCGGGAGAGCCATTTCGCCGCGTCCGCCAACCTGTATGTTCGAAGCCCGTCAAGCAGGAGGAATTCTGGCCACGTATTCAGCCCAAGTCCCTCGCTTACGTACTTCCAGCAGCTTCGAAGAAAGATTCACCTCGCTTCAGGGTGAAGAAACGATCTTCCTACCTTCTGGTTTGGCAAGAGTTTGTCATCAACGACTTTACGAGGTTGGGCACCGCCCCTCATTGGCCGGGCCATTCGAACCTTGAATCTAGAACTTAATGCCACCTGGCGCTGACTTGGAAATGCAAGGACAGTGGCATGGCAAGATCTCTTCAAACAAGATACACCTGATTTGAAGATGTCCACTAGTGATGAGTGAATCTAGCCACATTCTCCAGCGTGAATCTTCCACTGGGCTGAAACGGCACAGTTGTCGGGACAATCAAATCCTTCACTGTGGCGTATCGTCCGTCCTCGAACACATTCACTTTGGGTGAACCTGTTTATAGTACACATGGCTATCTAGCTTTGAAGGCCCTCTATAATGGAACTTTCACAACCTCAACTCAAACTTCAGTCCAGTATTTTCAAACACCCCAAGATGTACTCGTCTATTAGAAAGTCATCACCTGTTAGAATCGGTTACCTACTCCAACATCTTCTCCAACTTGCAAACTGCAGGTAAGACTTGTTTCTATACCTGACTACAATAGCCCACTGAAGGAAATAAATGAAGCTACACGAACACAGCTTGGTAACAAATTCAGAATGCTTTTTCAACAAATGAAATAAAAACCTTCATAAGGTTATCATGTACTCTAAGAATTTTTCTTTTTTTACTGAACCCTTCAGCTACATTACCAAATTACCTAGCCCAACTGCCTATGGCAGGTCAGTTGTCAAACATCTAAACAAATCAAACTACAAAGCAGTAGCCTAGCTCTTGATCTATCGGTGACGAGCATCAGCTCACGGCTGTGACGAGCCAACGGTGTGATCAGCCCTACTGCCCCACCTGCTTGAGAGCAAACTCTGACGCAACCTCGGATCCATCCCTCACATTCCAAAGCCACCCTGCATTCTGCTTCAGCTTTCGGCTTTTTCAAATCCAAATTCATCAGCCTGTGCTGCTGCTGTAGCTGCCACCTTGCTGGGCTTGCTGCTGCACCTGGTGCCTCCTCCTTCGAGTCAGTAAAGCCCCTCCTCCTGCCACTTCTGCTCCTGCACCCGCATCTGCTACCGTCAAACCATGCTGCACCCCCATTGCAACTCCTGCTGCACATGCTGCCCTCCTTGTAGTCACCAAGGCCCCTCTCCTGCAGTAGCTTCTGCTGCTGCTGTACCTACCCCTATCATCATTGCACCTGCACAATGCACCTTCTTAGAGTCACAAAACACCCTCCTGGTGCAATTCATCTGCCACCGTTGCACCTGATGCTGCACCTGATGCTGCACCTGAAGCTGCACCTGAAGCTGCACCTGAAGTTGCACCTGAAGCTACATGAAGCACCTGCAGCGGCAGTGAAAGCAGCAGCGCCTGCAACTGGCCGTACCAGCAGCGCCACCAGTCAGCTCAGGTCAGCACTTGTCCACCATACACAACCCCTCCAAGGACACGCTGCTGCCCCCTCAAGACCCACTCTTGCTGCAGCCACCTGTGAAAACAGCAATGGTAGCAGCAGCACCACCACCACCAGTCAGCTCTGCTCAGCACTTGTCCGCCATGCACAGCCCCCAGCAGTGGCACCCGTAGCAGCAGCACCAGACTCCCCTCAGCACTTGTCCGCCATGCACAGCCCTTCCAGCGACCCACTGCTGCCCCTTATCCACCCACTCTCACTGCAGTCCGACTCACTCGCCACAGCCCTCAACACAACCATACCAGCAAGTACCACCACCACCGCCAGCAGCAGCAGCAGCAGCAGCGCCAGCAGCACCAGCAGCACCAGCAGCAGCACCACCACCACCAGCAGTCAGCTCAGCACTTGTCCGCCATACACAGCCCCTCTAACGATCAACTGCTGCCCCTTCCATACCCACTCTCACTGCAGTCCGACTGACTCGCCACAGCCCTGATAGAACACCAGCAGCAGCCAGCAGCAACATCACGAGGCAGTTCAGCACTTGTCCGCCATACACAGCCCCTCTAGAGACGCACTGCTGCCCCTTCTCGACCCACTCTCACTGCAATTCCACTGACAATTAACAGCTCTGAACACAGCAGCACCGCCAGCAGCAGCAGCGCCACTAGTCACTCCCCTCAGCACTTGTCCGCCATACACAGCTCCTCTTAACGATCCACTGCTGCCGCCTCTAGACCCACTCTAGCAGCAGCAGAGACCCACAGCCGCCTCTGCTGCCGCCTCTGCTGCCGCCTCTGCTGCTGCCGCCTCTGCTGCTCCCCTCTTGCAGCCCCACTGCAAGTACTACCACCTCTAGCAGCACCAGGACCCTCAGCACTTGTCCGCCATACACAGCCCCTCCGAAGACCCATCCTCACTGCAGTCCGACTCACTCGCCACAGCCCTGAACACAGAGGCACCCGCAGAGGGGCCAGCAGCAGCAACTGCAGCACACTTAGCAGAAGCACCAGCAGCTTCAGTAACAGCAGAAGCGAATGCAGGAGCAGCAACAGCAGCAGCGGCAGTATCAGCAGCAATGACGGCAGGAGCAGCAGCAGCAGCAGCAGCAGCAGCAGCAGCAGCAGCGGTAGCATTGAGGGTGGAGCGGTTGTATTTAAGATGCGCCTGCACGAGGTGACCAGAGGCGAGGGCGGAGCAGAGCGAGAGCTCCCCCGCCAGCACAGCTGCCGCCACCACCCGTGCCAGCTGCTGCGCATTCAGCCCTGGCTGCGTGCTGTGCGCGCCCTTCACTCCCAGCAGGGCGAGTGCCGCCGCCTGGGGGAAGGAACGACGCAAGAAGGAAGGAAAAGGTGGGGAATATAGTTGAGTTCTATTCGCCCCCGAGCAGAGCCCCACCATTGGCGCTCTCGAGCAGCGTGAGGCACTGCGAGCTCTCCACGTTCTGCGCGGGGTCCTGCCCCTTGACCAGGAAGACTAGAGAGGATTACAGAGTGGTGCAGAGTGGTTGAGGCACTGCTAGCTCTCCAGGTTCTGCGCGGAGTCCTGCCCGGTGGCACACATACTGTCCCTTGCTGTCACACACTGCTCCTTCTCCCAGTCTCTCACCTGTGGTGCAAGGAAGGTTCCTCCGCCGACAGTGCCCACTTCAACCGCGGGCAGGGTCACCGAGGCGTTCAGATCTTTCCCGCCATTCGCGCTCTCGAGCAGCGTGAGGCACTGCGAGCTCTCCACGTTCTGTGCGGGGTCCTGCCCCGTGGCGAGAAAGACACCCTTCCCCGTGGCACAAGCACCATTGCCCTCTCCCCTCTACCCACCCTCTCCCACCATCTCTCTCACCTGCGGTGCAAGGAAGGTTCCTCCGCCGACAGTGCCCACTTCAATCGCAGGTAGGGTCACCGAGGCGTGCAGATCCTTGCCATCATTAGCAGGTTCCAGCAGAGTGAGGCACTGCGAGCTCTCCACGTTCTGCGCAGGGTCCTGCCCCGTGGCGAGAAACACCGCCGTGACGATATTGCTCGCGTGCGCGTTGCTGCCGCCCACCGCGCCCGCCATGGCCGAACCCACGAGGTTCTTAACGGTGTTGAGCTCCACCAGGGCGGCAACCGTTGTCTTTAGCACCGATTCCACCTGGAAGGGGCGACGGGAAACAACACAGTAAGGGGGAGAAGACGGGTGGGGGAATGGGGAACCAAGGGGGGAGGGGGGGTGGGGGAGGTGGAGTGGGGAAAAGCGGGGAGGATGGTGGGAAGGGCTGTGGGAAGGGCACGAGATGAGGAGCGCAGGCGGTGGGGAAGGCAGGAGGAATGCAGGCGAAAATGAAGGCCGGGGAAAGGAGGGGGTGAACGTACCACGTGGCCGGGAATAGTTGCCTCGCAGACGATGGCAGGGGGGAATGGAGGAGGACGATGGGGGAAGTGGGGAAGTGGGGAAGGGGATCGGGGTAACGGGGAAAATGGGCAAGGGAGAAGGAAGGGGTGAACGTACCACGTGGCCGGGAATAGTTGCCTCGCAGACGACGGATTTCCCGCGGCCGTGAATCCAGTTGACCGCAGTCGCCTTCTTGTCCGCGCAGTAGTTCCCCGACATGCTCACCACGCGCATATCCGGGAACGCGTCCCGCAGCGCGCCGAGCACGCTCGCGGTGCCCTTGGAAACCATGTTCATGCCCATGGCGTCGCCCGTGCCGCACTCCACGCGGATAAACGCGTTCCGCCCGGCGACCGCCACGCGGAGGCTTCGCAGGCGCGCGAACCGGCTGCTGCTGTTGAAGGCTTCCGCGAGCTCCGCCCAGTTGCGCGGGCTTTCCGCGTATGCCTTCAGCTCCGCCGCGCGCACCGCGGAGGGGAGCTGCACGGCGGGCGCGCGTGTCATGCCGTCGCGGAGCACGACACTGCGCGCGCCGCCGGCGGCGCAGATGGCTTTGCAGCCTCGGTTCGTGCTAGCGACAAGGCACCCTTCGGTCGTAGCCATTGGTACAAAATATTCCGTTCCGTCCAAAAGTAACGGTCCCGCTACACCCATGGGGATCGCCACGTGGCCGATCACCATCTCGCAGCACGCGCCGCGGATCGCGTCGTAGTCGTAGTTCTCCAGCGGGAGCCCGGCTAGGGATCGGCCGGTTTTAATCTCCACGGCGCGCCGCCGGACCGCGGCGGCGCGGAGGGTGTTGCCGAGTTGCGCCTCAAGGGAGTGCATGGGAATGGCGCCGCGCGCGACGGCGCGCGCAATGTCGTCGTCCGGAAGGTCTTGTAACGGGACGTCTTGTAACGAGGATGCACTGTCGGACTTGAAGACGAAGGTTTTCAAGCTGTCGGCGCTGGTGTTCGGCGTGATTGTACCAGCAGAGACTGTAACGGAAGGGACGGCTGCAGTGGATGGAACCGGAACCGCTTTAGAAGCACACTCAGGCTCGAAGGACGAAGGCCGGAGATAGGACTCAAAAGAAGGAGCGCGGTGAGCAAGCTCCTTAGCCTGCTCTTGGTGCTGGCAGTGACGAAGCTTTCTTGACGATTGCTCCTCTTCCTCCTCCCGCTCCTCCTCCTCCTCCTCCTCCTCTTCCTCTTCCTCTTCGTCCGATAATACGCTCAGCCCCACTGTCGCTTGAACATACCCGATCCCCAGGAAACCAATTAAGTAGATAAACGAGCAGATCGCGAGCGTGACGGCCGCTAAGTCCCGCCATAATAAAATATGGAGCTTTTCGGAAGAGTCTAGCTTCACGCGCCATCTGCGGAGGAGGTAGCAGCTAGAAAGAACGAACGTTATAACGAAGATGACATTAGTGAGCCAGAGCGGGAGCGGAAGGCCGTCGGAGGCTAGAGTTCTGGGCCGCTTTTTCCGGCTGTGAGTTTCGCCCTGATCCGATACAGGCCGACCCGTTAAGAGCTCGTCTCGGATGCGATCGTAATGTGCGATCATGTCTCCTCGTTGTCTATGGCCTCTATATGTTAGGTACGGATGTCCTGGTGGCTCCATGATTAGGGTTAGGAATGGTACGCAATCAGGTCGGCTTGAAATAGACTGGTCACAATTAGTAACCAATGTCCTAGAGCTCGCGAATCGGCTCGAAGGTTTTAAATCGAAGGCTGGCTATGGCGGTTCTAAGAACAGACGGCGATACGGATCGACACTCGACAGCTTCCTTCGTTCACAAAAACATGCTATCGGTCTAAGGTGGTTCGACGATTACGAGTGCCAACTAAGCGAGAAAATCGGCTGTTGGCAGTAGGTCGCGATCAGGCTGTTCACTATAGCATTAGAAGGTGTCAATATCAGCTAACGGCGCCCTTATCAGTCGCATCGCACAAGCGTTCGGCCACTCTTGGTTAAAAATCGCAGAACGGTGCACTACTGGACAGAAATGGGTTCTTCGATTGGATAAAAACTGGTGATCAAGAACCGAGTAACGTGACGTGGGTGCGCTTCGTAAAAGTGCGCTGCTGCTGCTTGATTTATCGTCCCTGCTATTCTAGGTCTGCTTCATAATCCAGTCGTTGCTGGTCTACATTCTAGGCTGCTGCTAGGTATGCTTGATGAGCGTGTGACACGGAGTGGTCGATAAAACGTCAGGCAGGAGGAAAAGTGTTTCTGATGGGGTGTGCCAGGCTGCCCGCCCTTGATTCTAACGAGGGTTACATGCAGCCTAAGTTGCCGCTAGCGAAGGTTGCCGGTCGCGCGTGTTCACGGCCAGGGATTCGTGTGGCTACCACTCGTTTGCATTTGGAATCGAGAGTGGGTGTAGAGGGCACAAGTTTTCTACTGTACTGGGCAGACGCAAGAGCAGGGAATGAAAATCCGAAAAATCGACGGTGATAAGCGCTCGAGAGGATCGTTGGGGTGCTCATCGGTTGCTTGCTTCCATGGCACGTCGCTGGTTTCTCAGTGACCATGGGAACGGAAACCGTTGAATCTCGAATTCAAACACAGGCACGTCCCTCCACATCCCGCAAGGTTATGGATGCCCGCATGACGGGAAAATTTTCGGTCAATTCAAACTGCGATCTCTTTTTCCCAGTGCGTGTTTACGAATGCAATCTTTTTGGGCAGCACCACTCGGCTGCCCGTGTTTAGGTTTGGTTTGGGGCTCCCCGTGTTTCGGTTGGGGCTCCCCTAATCGCATGCCATCCAGATGGGGTTTATTTTTTTCTGACCGCGGGCAGATTACGACACCTCAGCTTCTTCCACTGCGGATTGCATTTGCGAACCGCGCTGGCTAAATTGGATTGCAGCTGAAGTTGTCCCGAAAGGTTTCATGACCCACCTTGGATCGCGGAAAGCCAAGCTAGCAGATGTCACGTGGCGCTAGGTGAATCGGCGAAGCTGTTCAACTAAGCCAGCACAGCAAGGTTTCCCGCCAACTCGATACAAGGCATTTTCGAGAAGCAGACCTACACTTGAGCAGGAAGATACATAAATACATTCCTACAAAGGAACCGGTAGCATTACGTAGAGAGCTACTGCTAGTTACGTTGAAGTGGTTGTAGGTGGTGGCGGTCGAGGAGGCAGCATGAAGATGTTTGTAAGATCTGGGTGAGAAGGCGTTTGAGGTGCCCTGTGCGCAACGATTGGCACCAACAAGTGCGTGGTCGGGCATCTTTTGGAATTGGAATTAACAGAATAGCATTTTTCTGTTTGAAAACAGGTTCCATACAACTTGATCATCTTCACCACTCTGAAAACATCAACCCATACATGGTACGAACGCAAGGGGGCTCTAATGATCGTTTTCTATCATAGACCTTTTCACACCCATTGATCGCCAATGACCGGAGCAGCTTAAGGCCTGAAATGTCATTTGGAAAAGACTGCAGCTGCTTACAGTTATGCAGAGACAGTCACTTCAACCTGGTCAACTCAGAAAACCTGGGAGGAAGGGAGCGAATAGACAAATTCGAAGCATCCAGCCAAGTTAGGCAGGCAAGCCGAGTGAGGGAAGCAGGAAGATGTTTGAAAGCAGGGCACTGGATCAGGCTGAGTTTTTTAAGCCGAGATAATGCACCAATTGCATCAGGGAGGGAAGTCAGTTTCGGAAGTTCAACGAGCTCCAAGCACGTGAGGTGCTTCAGCTGTATGATACTTGCTGGCAAATGCTCCAATTCCTCCGAACCCTGTATCCGCAGACTTCGCAGCTGCGGCAGAACTGATCCAAAATCTTCTGGAAGCTCCTTCAGCTTCACAAAACACCAAATGGTCAAACTACGAAGCTGCTTCAGAAAAGTCAAAGGGAAAGGCAGCGTCTTTGCATTCTTCGCCAGGTGCAGCACCAAGTGCTTCAGTTGAGACAAGCTTTTACTGGTCGTCACTTTTCGCCCAGTAGTAACCATGCTCAAGCTTAAACCGGTGAGATTTGGCAGCTTGGAAACGTCTGGCATCTGAGTGACCTTGCCGCAACCCCCCCATTTCAAGACTTCCAGAGAGCAGGGAAGTGACTCCGGAAATTCTGTCAGCTCCGTGCACGCATGAATCTGCAGCCGTTTGAGCTTCGTAAGGCAGCCCAATCTCCTGGGGAATGAAAACAGCGCGTAACAGTGGTCGATTGTCAAAATCTCGAGGTTGGTCAGGCAGGTAACGGAATCAGGAATCTTCTTGAATGAGCAGCCATGGATGTGCAAAATCTTCAGGCCTTTCAGCTTCCCCAAGTCCTCTGGAAGTTCACTGAAGGAACAACAATTATCGAGATCAAGCATCGTGAGGGAGGATAATTGGGTGAACGAGGACGGTAAATGGCGCTTCCAGCTGTGGCACAGACGCAGAATTTGCAAATTACTCAGCATTCCAATGTCTTCAGGAAGCGTCACTTCTGGTGTATTCTCGAGGCACAGAGCCTTAAGCGCTGTCAGGCAGCAGAAACCTTTCGGAAGCTTGGATAGCCGACGCATCTCAGTCAGAATTAACGTCTCCAGCGATGTGAGCAGGCTTAAGGAATCCGGAAGATGAAAGAGACACACCGAGTTCAGCACCAGTTTCTTGAGAGCAGGCAGCTGCCCAAAGCTTTCAGGCAGGCTGAAAATCCCGCTGGAATGGAAAACCCTCAGGCTTTCTAATCGGCTCAGCGACGTGATGTCTTCAGGAAGCGGGCCGAGGGTCTCACACCAGCTAATATTCAGCTCCCGCAGATTCGGCAGCCGATCCCCAATGTCGTCAGGAATGCTCGCGAGTTGGTCTGACCGGGTGATAAGGAGGCGTTCTAAGCTGCTGCACGGCAACCTTGAAGGAAACATCTGATCAAATCGTGGAGATGCTGCGTCGAAAACCAGCGTCTTCAGACAGGGTAGTTGCGCGATGGCTAGAGCAGCAGAATGTTGGTCACCTGAGACGACGCGGGTTCCGTGAGGGAATGACAGGCTGGTGAGATTCGAAAGGCGAACGAGGGATGAGAGCTGCTGGTAATTCACTTCGGGACAGGTGATCCAGAGAGTACTGAGAGCAGAAAGGTTGGCGAAGGCAGGATCTTCTAGTACTGAAGTGTCGGGTAGAGTGAGTTTTTGCAGCCGAGTTAACTGGAAGAAAGGAGCCGGAAATTTGACGTCTCGATGTAGACACCGTAACGAAAGCTGCTCCAGCTGAGTGCAGTTCCGAAAAAAATGATCCAAGCCAGCTTCCGTCACGGGATGCAGATGCTTCCTCGCGTCATAATGATGCTGTGTGATCCGTTCTCCCACGTGCAGCGCAGTCAGCTTGGGACACGATGACGCGAGGTGAACTAAGAAGGCGTCATCTATTGATTCCACACTCTCGTTGCAGAGATGGAGGTGCGTTAAATTCGGAAAGCGAGAGACCGCGATGGCGAGATCTTGGCGGGAAACGACGCTGAAAGCTTTGACCAGAAGCGTGGAGACGTGATGCTGGGAGAGAGAGCGCCAGCGACGACAGACAAACGCTACCCCGAGAGTCCACGCAGCATTGGTAAAGGCGGGAGGGGTAGGGTAAAGGGCCAGAAGTTTCGCGGAAGTAGTCCTTCTCAATATGCACTCCGGCAGTTGACTTCATCCTCGAGTGCGTGAACTCTTGCATGTCGTCGCTGTCGGGATCCCACGGCGGAAGCTGCTTGGAGCGCCATAAGATCGTGACGAGGATCTCGTCAGGAAGACTGTGAATGTGCGTGCGAGAATTCATTTCAGCAGAACTCGATGTTACCGAGGCGAAACAGGTGGCCACCGTAGTCACACACGAACACGGATGATTCACCGGGACTAGCAATGAAGGAGCTACTAAATCGGATCTAAAACGAAACAATCAACATAGAGACTTACTATTCTAAGCTCGGAAGAATCTCTGAATGCCGTTTTAGGGCGCGTAACCATTTTGCATTTTGTGATTTTGACGGACAGTCCGCTTAAAACGAAGCGGACGGTCCACTTACTGAAAACGGGACCGTCCGAAGTGAAAATTTGCAACTTCGGACTGTCCGAAGGCAGTTGTGACACTTTTCTTCTATTGTACAGTTTCGCGACATTTGTACAAGCGTTACGTGATTTACGGTTTTCGTGTTTTTCGTTGTCGAATCATTGTTCTAAAAAGTTGTCTCTGGATGGTCGATGTAATCCTATCACATGTTTTTGTTGGTGGACGAGATGCCTGAGAATTTTTACGTCGTGCACCAATCGGATGCAAGGAAATTCGGACAGTCCGTTTGAGATTCGGACTGTCCACGGTTCAGATTTCGGACCGTAGAAAATGGGAAAAAGTGTCACGACTGTCCGTTAAGTTGGCGATATCGCCAACACCTTAACGAACACACTTACGACATAGTGCGAATACTGTTACCTTTTCGCCACCCGGACGGTCCACGGTTCGAACCGTCGGGTGCAAAATGGTTACGCGCCCTTAGGTGAACTGCGAGTGAAACTGGTGTTGTATGAGGGTGGGTCACTGGCTGGGTGGGACACGATATTCCCAATGCGAGGCTGGAGCATAGT